CCAAATATAAATCGGAAACAGCCTCTGCCTTTCCAAAGTTCAAATTTTGTCTAACTCCTTGATTTAGCAAAAATTTGGGCAGCACTCCCTTTAGAAAAGGAGACTTTCCAAATTGTTATCAAGTCATATATGAATTTTAGACAAGCTGAACTCTGAAAGTCAAGGTTTTGACTAACTCCTTGCATTTGCAGAAATTTCGGCAGCGCTTCCCGTAGGGAAAGTAGCTTACCAGAATTTATATAAAGCCAAGTATAACAAAAGGTCCCAGAAAATGCGAGCATCGATCTAAGTAAAAAAAACTTAGCATAGAAAATGCGGGAATTGACCTAACTCCTATCGCTCTAGCACGAGGCGAGCCTCTAAAGCAACTACCTGTCAATCTGACACTCAAACCAAGTAGTAGCCTCACTCAGTCTCATGCAGACCAACCCACAAAGGTAAGTACTCTCGCCTCCCCAAGTCAAACTTTGCAAACAATAGTTCGTAATCTCTCGATGCTTTATTCCCTTATACCCAGCTTACATAGGGCATAAAGTCAATCCGTCCAATCTTATGGAACTTGTTTGACTCAGCCATTAAGTATACACGAACAAGTTGCACAACTACTTCTCTCTTCCTTTTGGGCATACGACTAGGCCGTTCATCTTATAACAAGGCTTAGTTGCCCAGAACTGATTAATATCCAACTTATATATACCTCTCTGCGCTTGGTATTCAAAAGATGGGCATAGGACTGAGCCGTTCATCTTAGAACAAGCCCCAGCCTGCCCAGGGTTACCTTCAATTATACTCTTAGTTATACTCTCTTCATTTAATGATAAGCTATAGCCGGGCCGTCCAATCTTATGGAGCTCATGCCTGGCTAGCCTGTTCATAGATAGAATAGTATAAGGTATAGCCAAAATTTAGCCTTTTGGGTTCCAACATGTGCGAGGCATTGGGCCAGACCGTCCAATCTTATGGAACACATTTGGTCCTTTGCTTGGTTCGTTGCTCTCTGATCCACTGTGTGCGGCATGAGTCAAAGGCCGTCCAATCTTATGGACATGCCTTGCCCCCAACGAGAATTACTCCCTCAAAATGAAACAGGAAGGGCCTGAGCCGTCCAATCTTATGGACTTGCTGATGCTTCCTCGATCAAAAACAAAAGAAACAGAAGAAACTTCAATCAAACATGGCAACCAAACCCTCCAATCTTATGGTACAGGTTTGGCCCCTGGAAAGTCAGCCACAGTCAAACCCTCACAATTCAGAGCAAGCAGACCATCCAATCTTATGGAACTGGTCTGACTCTCCATGCAATTCAAAAATAGACACAAGGGTCAGGCCGTCCAATCTTATGGAACTGGTCTGACCCCATAGGACCCTGTCAGCCTCAGACAGAACCACCTTTCACCCACCCTTCCCCCAGATGCAACCCCCTTTTTCTGAGCAAGTCTGCTTTCAGGCAATCAAAAACTGAAACTGAGATTGCACACACATTCCTTTACTTAATCTGAATTAGATTCTGAAAACCAAGCCAAACTCAATACAGGATCATGCAATACACTCCGTCAAACCATAGAAAGAGGTACAAATAGGGGTTATACCAGGGTATATAGAAGAGAAGCAATGGTTACCTTTCAGTTCCCTGCCTTTAGAGCCTCGCCTAGGCTCCGTCAGAGCTCCCGCAATCGGTGGGGCAACCTCCCACAAAGGCCTTGGCGCAGATTACGGGTTGCAATCCCGCCTACCGCCTTCCTCTCAGAACCAATAGAGTTGACTTAGAGGAAGAAGGGCAGGAGGAGAAGCGTTTAGTCTCTCAGATACAAGGGAGGTGCACTGAGACTCGCAGGAGAGGGCCTTGTTGCCTTGATGCGCCTGAGGGCCCTACAATGGCGGCCAGACAAAACGCAGTTTGATCAAAGAAGTCGATTGTCAAGGTCAACACTGTGCTGATCCTTCGTGTCCCAGCACCAACCTCCCTCTCCGGACTTAATCAGGCCTCTTGCGTATACGCGCCGCTGCCCAACCGCGACCCGCAGCATCCGACAGTGGCAAACATCAGCCCTCGACAACTCACAACTACCCGCGCGCAGCCAACAGAAACCGCTGGTGTGCAGCAGCCAGCCGCAATACGCTGTATCAGTAAATAGCAGCAATAAACTGCAAATTCCTCCGATAGCAACTCCTCTCCTTAGCACTCAGATCGATTAGTACGGTAGCTCAGTCATCCGCTGGTCAATCCGCCGACATGGCAACCACAGGCAATGACTGCGTAGTGGCAGCTGCACAGTCGTGGCAACAGTGCCTAGTGGTCGACGCAGCCCACCACACCGGCAACTCCAGCCGTATCTGACAATCGCTCAGCCATGCGCAGTAAAACTTCAACAGCGGCTCGCAACCGTTTGCAGCGGTATACACCAGTCGGCAGTGGCTCAACAGGGCACTCAACAAAAGACACCGCCGCCCTGTACTTATCAACAGCCTACCTGGCTGCAGTACCTGCGGTCGGCCTTACTTCGCTGCCAATGACCAGACGAGCATTGCCCAGGTTAGTTAGCGAGCCCCTGCCCTCATCGCTCATTCCCCATGCCCTGGTCCATCGCGAGGGTGGGTAATCACACCGGCTACTCACATGCCCTCCCACCGTGACACGTGTAGATGCCCCACCAGCGCTTCTACTCCCCGTCGCCCCGTATAGAAAAGCCTGTCCGTGGCTTCGACAGCAGCAGGGCCTGACTCTTCTCTAGCTCAAAAGCTGCATAGCTTGGCGGACGGCATAGTGGCCGACAGGTAGCTCCCCGCCCCCTCTTCGGCCGTACTCCCGTAATAGCGGCAAGCGGGACCGCACGAATCTTCCCCGAAACCGAGGCTAGGTACATTATCACCTTACCATCTCTCCTCCTCGCCTCTCGTCGCCCCTCGTCCGCCCCCCCCCCCTTTTCGTAGTTCTTGGATGCACCCGACGCAACTCCTACCTCCACTTAACTCTATCCCGCTACTCCAACGCTAACTCCAACCCGACTATCCCGGTCGCCCGGCCACAGATCCCCCAACGAGTAACTTCCCCCCCTCGATTCCGTTAGGAATCGACCGAGCTGGCCCCCTTCCCGACTGCGCTTAATCCCCCTCTTTTCTCTGTATGCACCCGGCCCATGTTAACGTCTGGGCTCATTTAATCCCCTGTTGCTGTCGGCCGCCCCTCGCTTCGTCTCGCTGCCCTCAGCACCCCGTCGCCGGCTACTTCCTCCACTCCCCTCCAGTCCGCGATGCCCCTGGCCGTGATTCCCGCCGGGTTCCCCCACTTCGTCCTACCTGCTACTGCCAACGCCACGCCCGCTGTTCCTCTACCTCACCGCTCCGCTTCGATACCCATCGCTCACTTGGCCTCGCTCATCCTCGCCTCACAGGCCGTCCGCCCGTCGCCCCCCTGTCGCTACCGTTCGGGCATGCCTCTCCCTCTCTATCGTGTCCCGCCTAACACCCCCTCCTGACGTAGTCCGCACGTCCCCCGGCGCCGATTTGCGCCCACATTCATCCCCCCTCCACGGCTGTGTTGTCGCCAACGAAAACCCCTGTCCGCGCAACTCTTTTTTGTCATAATTCTGGATTTACTAACCTTTCTCTCAAACTAACCTCACCACTATACTCGCCCGACTGCAAAACCCACATCTAACATCTTCTTCTACCCTGTTTCGTCGAGAGTTGGGTAAGTTCGAGCTTTATCCTTTCGCCATGCCACTACCCCCTTGCCTCGCTCTCAGAATGCACCCGGCACAGTCTCCCGTCCAGGTTCATTCGGCCTATTTTCTCGCGTTTTGCCTGCCCACTTTGACTACCTGTTCAGTCGCACCTCCCTTCACCCGAACTCTCATCCTCACCTCCTCCGGCTCCCCGTCACGTTGCCGGCAGCGGAGCTCCCACCAGCGCAGCTCTGCGCTAAAACGTCCGGACTGCACAGTCGTCGAACGACATTGTCAAACAGCGACCGGCGCCGGCCCTCCTCCCCCAACTTATGCATGTCATCCGCACAAAGGGCCCATGCCAATCCTCTCTGTATCGTTCCTGTCCCGAAGGACCCGGCCGCGGTAATACCCCGCCCGCGACTCTTCAAGGGTTAGACCGCCAACCGCAGTGCCGCGCCCCAGACCAGAACGGCCCATAAAAACAAAATAATAAAAAAAACAAAAAAAAACAAAAATAAAAGTTTGGCATGAACGAGAATCCCTAGGCCTCAACTTTCTCCACGATGCTCCCTCGTTACTGCGCCAACGCCCGCTGGCCTCGATCCCTGAATCCCCATAGTACTAGTCCAACACCATAACCTATAGGCTATGCCCCAGCTTGGAACCAGTAGGTGCGGATTCCTATATGAAGTGGCGTCGCGCCATGCTTAGGCTTGGGGACAACAGCCTAGGCCTTCCTGTCTATCCACGGCCAACGTGCCACCACCAGGCACCCGCGCCAGCCTACTTGGGCCGCGCCGTGGCTATACCACGTGCCACCCCGCGCGCCAGTCCTACCATCGGTTGCGCATGCCGACCCAAAAACGGACCTTTACCCCTTAATCAAACCCGCAACTCGGTCCGGGTCGGTCGGCTAGACCGGCTACTCACTCAACCAGAAAAATATCACACGCTCGCCTTAACACTGTCCGCCCACATACCCTCTAGCTTAACCAGGACAGGTCCCGGACGAGGTCGTGCCTCGCACGACTTATTTCAACCAAACCCATTTTCTTTGTCATTTGCAAAAAACAGGGCGGATATCCTTGTAAGGGTATTCGCGCCGACAACGTTACCCATCGTTCGTCGTTAACTGCGATCGGCCGTTTTCAGCAGAGTGACCGTCGCAGTTTCCTATACGTCCATGGCTGTCTTGCAGGTGGTCGCGTCGTCCACGTGCGTTTCATGGCCGACGTATTTTGGAGGCTGCCACTGCTGGTGTTGGTCGTCCTCCTGCTTCTCCTCGTAGTGCTCTTCCACGTTTGTGTCGTCGACATCGTTCCGCGACGTGGGCGCAAGCGACGGTGTGCAAAAAAGGACGTCAGTATGGATGGGCGGCAGGCAGTTTGCAGGTCTGCAGGGGGTGAGGGTGGTGGCCAACGGGCCGGGCAGAGCCCGTCTAGAGGTTCAAGGGCGGTGGAGCGGTCGGAGTACACGCACCTGCCACCGCACTTGCAGCCTTTGCCGGACACATCGGACGAGGAGGAGGACGACAGACGTTCACGTGCCATGCCACTGGGAAGCGGGTCTACACAGGAGTGGGCGGCCACAGAGCTTTGTGGAAGCCGCGCGCCCAGTTACGGCCAGTCGTACACCCAGCTCCTCCAGCAGGGCCTGAGCGGCGACGAAGGAGATGGAGGTGTGAATCTGACGTTCGGTCTGTGCAGTGGGAGTTCGTCGTCTTCGACGCGGACAGTGCTAGTTGACAACCGTCCCGATGACGACGGCGGCCAGGTGACGGTTGTTGCACGACCGTCGAAGTCTCCAGCGTCGTCGGTCCGCGTGGCGTCGGGGAACAACAAGGATCCTCGTACGCAGCAATACAGGGCACCGTCTGCTTCAAGGGGTGCCTCGGCTCGCCCGTCGTGGATGTTGTCCCCGTCTGCCCTGTCCACCAATTTGAGTGCGGCTCGCAATCGGGGGAATGCGGGGAGCATGATTGCGGGATCGAGGGAAGAGGTGACGCACACGACGGGAGGGAGGTGTGGGAAGAACAGCGACGGATGCTCCATCCCCGACGGCAAGAATCCATAACACGGGGCGTGCAGCGACTGCGAGTGGTGGACGACGAAAACGACGGCGATGCACCTGATGTCGACGGCAACGATCAGGACTTGAGTGACGACGATTGCGGGGGTGGGGAGGACAACGCAGGGCGAGTGTCGCCATCCAATCAAAGCAGCATGGGGGGGAAGGGCGGGAGGGCGAAGGCGTCTGTTCGCAACGGTCGGCGGGGGAAGAAGGCGATGGGGAAGGGGAGCGACGTCGAAGCTGACGGCGATGCAGAAGGCGGTCGTCTGCAGGGAATCGGCACCTCGTACGCTCGTATGAAGCCGCGAGAATGGAAGTGGTTGGATGTGGAGCAAAGGCTGAAGAAGGTGGGCGTGGAGAGGGAGGTAGAACGGTGCGGGAAGAAGTGGGACAATTTGATGCAGCAGTTCAAGAAGGTGCACCACTTCCAAGGCTTGTCCGGGAAACGAGACTTCTTCCAGTTCACAGGCAAGGAGCGGTTGTCGAAGGGCTTCAGTTTCAACATGGATCGTGCGGTTTACGATGAGATCCTGGGGTCGACTGCCAAGAGACACACCATGAACCCCAAGAACGTCGCAGACACTGGTGCTCCGGGGGGTGTGCGTCTGCCGTCGGCGAATTCTGCTGATCCGGAGTCTGTCGGGGATCGGGACGCTGTTGCAAGGCTGGACGACGACGACGACGTGTCGACGAGAGGTTATTCTCAGACGACAGGAGGCCCTGGTGGCTTCGGCAAGAGGAAGAGCACGAGACAGCAAACTTTCGACGCTCTGTTGGAATGCATGAAGAAGCATGGGGCTCTGGTGGCGTCGACGATGGAAAGCAACAGCAAACGACAGTGTTCAGTCCAAATCCGACAGTGCGTGGCATTGGAAGCGGAGGTGGAGGTGCAAAAGAAACACTACGCTCCGTCCGACGAAGTTAGCAAACTGATGTGCCACGCTCTGCTTGAGATAGCGAAGACCATCCACGAGCGTTAGCCGCCGTGTCTGCTCCTGTCTGCCTGGTCGAGTCCATCGTTTTCACGGCGCGCTAATGACAGCAACGGCCTTGTCCCTCTGCCCCTCGCCTCGTCGTGTAGGACTTGACGTATCCCGATTTGCTTTGCTGGCATTGGTAGTATGTGGTCATCCGGATGGGTAGATGAGTCCCCCGTTTTAATTGACGTCTGTCGACGTGTGTCCTTCGCTTTTTTTTGCGAATTTTCTTGTGTGTTGTGACATGTTTATCCAAACTCATTTTCGGATTTGCTGCAAGCTGTTGCGCTGCATCGGGACAGACAATTCCGTCATGTTTGATTTTGCAACGGATCGGAATAAGTGCATCGACCACTTCCCGTTTTTATATGTGACGTGGGTCTGTGTTTTATCTCTCCCTTTCCATATGCATCTCTCTCTCTCTCTCTCTCTCTCTCTCTCTCTCTCTCTCTCTCTCTCTCTCTCTCTCTCTCTC